TTGTCAATTATTGTTACGTTAGGAAATGTAATATAATATTACAATCCTTTTTTGTAAATTAATTTATTTACATTGAGCTAGTACATGTGCATAGATACAATCTGATAGAACTGTCATGAGGCGGTGAGGAGAGAAGGCAGCCAGTACTGTAATTCTCTTTTATTTAGTTGGGACTAAGATAGTGTCAGGATAGGAGGTCAGGAGGCTATCGCCGTTTTATACGACGTGAAGGATAAGGGTGGGACGTTTACGAAAAAGATTTGGTTGGTTAGGGTGGAGATAGCTCATAGTGGAAATTGTGGAAACGTGTTCGGATCATTCCTCCATGAAATATCTGGATGCTGCGGGGAACTTTCGATTGAAAATATTGCATTAGTTGGATGTTGGATCTGGCTCGACTACTAAGTTCAAATTGGTCTTTTGTTACGTTTGTAAGTCTAGTATCCGAATTAATTCCAAGGTAGCGAACTTGGTTAGATTACCTTGTTCTTTATGTGTGTCTGATGCCTGAGCTTAAAAGTCAGTCACACGTTAGCTTTTTGCCCGTTTAACTTGATACGCCACCGAGTACACCCGTCGGTAATGAGGTCTGGTGTTCTAGGATTGCTTCTGTTGCTAGTATAGGAGCGGAGATTAATAAGATTTCCGATAAATAAGAAGTTAAGTAATTGTTAATGATGAGCAAATTTAATCGTTTACTAAAATTTTTAAATTAAAAATGTAATAAAACAATAAAAATTAATTCATTTACGTTTTAGTCAATTGACCAAGTTACATCTTTCAATTAATTATTCTTTCCATGTAAGGTCTTGGTTGAGATAAAAAAAGTCAAAATGGCAAAAAGAGGGAAGGTTCGAACGGTTGTAGGTTGAGATGGAGAGTTAGTGTCCGAGATGATCCAAGTCACGATAGCTCAAGTGGTAGAGCAGCGGTGTACAAGAAATGACAGCTGCATTAAATTAATACTGATAAATAGAATGAGTATTCATTATTGATCAAAGATTTACTAAATCTCATTGACAAATTTGTTTTAATTGGTTAATTAGGTTAATTAATTGGTTAGGTGAAAAGATTTTATATTATTTAACGGGAAACTCTGCAGGCAACTACCTCCTATAGTCTATAATGGAAGAGCATAGGTTTACAATGAAGCAAATTGTGTAGAGCTTCAATCAAATTTGTTTGTAGCCTGTTACATTTACTTGTGATGTTACGGATTTAGTGTCAAAGTTATTAAGGTTTAAGTAATTATTTTAGACGTTTCAATTGAAAAACAAAAAGTATTTGATTGGCCTAAAGAAAGTAATAGTTAAAATACGAGAAAATTTCGTTCGGTGCATACATTTTTGTTTGCGGCCGTCATAAAATATCATATGTTTTGTAATTGTCAATTTTATTCCATACAGGTGACAAATAATTCATGTTTACTATGAAGAGTTTACTTATTGGAATCAGAATAATTTGTTGTAGTCACAATGTTTACTTCATTACACACATGTTATCCACTTTAACACTTTATATTTCACTAGGACTGTATAATGGATGTGATGAGAGTGGATCTTTTATTTTTATTATAAAAACTTTGTATTCCAATTTTTTCGCAGGCTGGGAAGTTAGTTATACATTTTAATCGCAACGTTTTCAGGACCGGATGACTATATTTCTGTCACTCCTTACATCATTTCAAAAACCTTAATTTGCATCCTATTTTGCATTTGCAAATAGGGGTTTACATTGAACATCAAAATCCGGTAAAACATCCTTCTCCATCTACTGCACAAGACAAAGGGTAAAACAATTATAATACAAATATACTGTATAATTATACAATACTTATAGTATACAATTATACAATAGAATTATAGAATACTATTATAATACATTGTAGAAATGTATAGTGTTCATTGACCGTTAGTCAATGATTATTCGTAGATCGTGAGATGCGGTCTGGTGTGATGTAGGTTTCAGAAAAACATTTTCTTTATCATGCCACCGTTTCGATCAATATTGAGATCATCGTCAGGGCTCACTGTTTTTGTTTCCTGTGTAATTGTGCCATTCTTGCGTGTCGTATTGAGAGTGCCAGCGATATATTGCTGTTTTATGTTTATATACGTTGGATCTGAAGGGGTGGGGAAGGAAGTCGGTTTAGAAAGATATTTTTGTGTAAGGAGGCGGCATCTTTGAGGTGAATAGAGCCGACTAAGGGAAAAAAACGTTGGTAATAGTTAGCAATATTGTTGAAAAATTAGACTATGTAAAAATGTTTGATGCGTGGAATTTGATGAATGTTTTATGTTATATTATACGTTTTGTGTGATGTGATGATATATGCATGTTATCGATATTGAATTTGATTAATGCTATTGGCGTAGCTGCGACTGAGTTCATCTCTATTCTGTAATTGATGCTGTGTTTATCTCGGTTGATGTAAACCATTTCTAAAAAGTTACGTTTATGTGTGTTTTGTTCTGTTATTATCGTTTTAGTGAAAGCTTTTGGTGGCCCTGAAAAGGGCCGTTGAAACGAGTCAATTTCAAAAGTGCAATTTACTTGGCACTTGTATATTTGGTTACAGCCTTGGTCCCTTCAGAAACGGCGTGCTTTGCCAATTCTCCGGGAAGGAGGAGCCTGACAGCGGTCTGGATTTCCCGACTGGTGATGGTCGACCTCTTATTGTAGTGAGAAAGTCGTGAAGCTTCGGCGGCGATTCTTTCGAAGATGTCGTTGACGAAAGAATTCATGATGCTCATCGCTTTAGAAGAGACTCCGGTATCGGGATGGACTTGTTTCAACACCTTGTAGATGTAAATAGCGTAGGATTCCTTCCTCCTCTTCTTTTTCTTCTTATCGGTCTTGGCAATGTTATTTTGGGCCTTGCCGGCCTTCTTCATAGCTTTCCCAGTAGCTTTTGGCGGTGCCATGGTTGGAACTAGAAGACTGAACGAGGAACGAACGCCCCGTAACGTATTTATAACAAACCTGATTACCCCCACCACTCGCCTTGCCATTGAAATTCCGAATTCCTATTGGCCGCAAAGTGATTCGACATCTTCATTGGTCGCAGAGTAGAAGTTGGAAATACGTTAAAACTATGTTAATAGTCTCATGATATCTGAATAACTATATTAATAGTACTAATAATACTCCAATGGATATACATGTTCCAAATTTGTGAGATTTTTCAATCAAAATAAAATTATTATTTTATCATGACTAATTTTTTAATGTCAATAAAAATAAGATCAATTTTTAACAATATAGACAATATAGATAATAACTTAAACCAATTAAAAGAAGGGTTTTTAGGTTTTTACATTCCTGTGATTGTGTTTGCTGTACATGGCGAACTTATTTACATAATAAAAATTAGATAGTAATTTTTGTAGATTTAATATATTTTATCGATCGTACTAATTAATTTAATTCGTAATTTTATTCAATCATAATAAAAAAAATTGTTGTTTGTACTCCATCGAGCTCTAAAGAGGGGAAGAGTCGAAGGAAGAAAAGAAAATTTTAAAAAAATTACCTCTCACTTGTGCACGTTTGAAACTCACTTAAGGAAATATTAATTTTTTTTGTTTAACGTCCGATTTTAAACACCATAGAACTTTTTTGTTTAAACTTTTTATTTGTTTTTTACAACTACATTCTTCGACGCAACAAGTAAAACAGATAATATTTACATATAAACATATTAACGGTAGCATGAAATCTTGAACAGTTACCATCCAGCGATGGTAGCCGTTAGTAAATCAATACGATGTGCGAGATGTACTCCATCCTAGGAGACCGATGTCAACTGTTAAGGTTGTCGCGGGGCTACCGACGCTTCAGTCTTCTGTTGGGATTATTAGGTAATGTGGTGGATGACAGGTTTTCTGATGATGGGGTAGTTTGGAATGGAACGTTTTGTAGCGGGATAGGGCTAGCTCGGTAACAAAAGGGACATTTAGGTCGGCATGGATGGTGGGATTGGATACATAGAAATGGGGGCGTTGACTATTGTTCTGAGGATTTTAGATTGAAGGGATTGGATTCGATTGAGGTTGGTCCTCTTAGCCGTCCCGAAAAGTTCAAGTCCGTATGTCCAAATGGGGGCCAGGAAGGAAATGTAAAGTTTTCTCTGTTTGTTAGTGAGCGTTTTGATCGTCTGTCGAGTAGTCGTTTAAGCATGAAAAATCGTATGTTACTGTCTTTGCGCTTACGTCGTGTATGTATATCGCTATAGATTAATTAGTGAAGGCAGCTGGAACCATAAGGGAAATATTATAGGACACTCGAAAATTCTACATTTATTGAGTAAGGTCAACAACCAACTACTGGGTATGGATGGTGGGATTGGACACATAGAAAGGGGCGTTGACTATTGTTCTAAGGATTTTAGATTGAAGGGATTGGATTCGATTGAGGTTGGAACGCTTAGCAGTCCCGTAAATTTCAAGTCCGTAGAACTAAACCATAGAACTAAAATTAAAAAGTAAATAAAAGTCGAAAACCAACTTTAACGTATTGGGTTTTTAAGCTTATTTACTTTTTGTTACACGCCCAGACCTAGTAAGAGATCTCAGAGCACCAATATTACATACAAAATGTTATAATAATTTAAAAATAATATTAGCCTTGGTTTTTTAAATTCCTTACGAGACTAAAATATGTAACGTCCTTTTATTTAAAAGGTTTTATTTAAATCATTTTCGAACATAAAATCCTTCCGAGTGAAATGTTTGTTTCTTAGTGACTTTAGTGATGATAGTTGAAACCGTGAGGAGTGGTCAAGAATGAGGTAATTAGGAAAGCACCTTAAAACCGAATCTATCATCGAAGTGGATTCAATCAAGAAAAAAGGCAGAGAAGTGGTAATCTATAAATTATTTCTATTTATTATTTGTACTAGAATACGCCAGTGTGGCAAGGTTTTCTTAAAACGAATGTAAATGTGTGTGTTTTCTTTTTCTTTCCAGTGGCATACATTAATTAAGGACGTTACGACTTACTTAGTTCCTCTCAAAATGTCAATCCAGCTGGATTCCAGCTGGCTGGTGCCCAGCGGAAACGTTCCCGTGGTTTCTCTATACATTCACTCCGAACAGATCACCGATGTTTCGACCTTTATTCTTGTCATCTTTGGGGCCAGAGTGAATTAGCAAACAGATGTTGATGTAAATGTAAATTTTGAACCAAGTATTTCATACTCGCATAAATTGTGGAGTTGTTTTTGTGGTATCATAATCGTTTTGCGTAAAATTGTTGTGAAACGTGAATTTGCATTCTGTTCTTTTATATGATTTGTGGTACGGTCGAGAGACGCGGTAAATCTGGGATATTTTCTTTGGTCATATGAACATTTGAACATATATTGTATATGATCAATCAAAAAGGAGGATTTTACTTTTTCTGTTCACTATTAATATTAATTATTATAATTTTCACTGTTTTTTTAGTTTCGGTTTTACGTTATTTCAATTAATTATTCCTTTTACCTAAGGACTTGGTAAAGATGAAAAAGTTAGTGTCAGCAGCGGGATTTTCTGTTCACTCTTAATTTTAATTGTTCCATTTTTGTGTGTTCTTTACTTAGTTAATACTAGTGGGTTTATTCGCAATTCTCGCTGTGTTTTAGTTTTCGCTGTATTTTATTTTTTTTTTCAAGTACATAAGTTTAATTTTTTATTTTGATTAATATGTAATGTACTTATTTGTTTTTATTTCGAATAAGTAATTTTTCCCCCCCGATTTATGATGGTGGGAGTCAAGGAATCATTCTTGGTGTACGTTCGTGTCTCTCCATTGTGTATACACAAAGAATTATACTTTTTTAAATGTATTTTACTTTTTTTTTGTAGCCTACTTGGAGCATAGGCTTTTAGGATAATAATAAATACAACTAATACAAAAAATAGCCAGACCAAACCAAAACATCGATGTTTTTGGGTTCGATTCCCATCCCTAAACAAAAGACATACTTTTTTTTATTCAGTACAAATTGCCCAAATATTCCATAAAATATGCATGGATTTGGTTTTCCATGCAAACTGATGCAATGTAAATCAGTTTTTTTTTATCGTAGTAACTTTATATAGAAATATAGATAATTAAATGAAATAGATATTAAAAAATTTTTTAAGGAGGGTATTTCAACTACGTGGTTATTTGAACCATCGGGGTGCCAGTGTTTTTGAAAAAAAGCCCTTTACAGTGATGACCGCCGTATCAACTCCTAAACTGTTGCGGCCACCTGGAGTTTATTTAAATTTAACGTAAATATTTTTTCGCTTACATAATTAAATTATATATTTTATGCTAATTGAGATTAATTAATGTTAATAAACAAGTACTTCTCTAAATTGACTTCCGTGAAATAGAGCCTAAGTCACTTAAAATTTGTGAGACTATTGACGAGACCTAAGAAAGGGTTTAATTTTTATATTCTTTGGTCGGTATTTCTAGAATCTTCTTTCGTTGCGGCCTGTTTCAGTTGTGTTCGAATTAAACCAACTTTTCGTCAACTTATTTTCTTTACAGAACTTTTTTTTATCCTTCCCACGAAAACCAATATAGTATTTTAAATATTTTGTGCTATAAATGCGATTTTACTTTAAAATCCTTCAAATATGTGACATTGTTCAAATCTGCAATTTTATGCGATATTCATTAAATATGCTCTACAAAATTTAACCTACAGCTTCCTTGACACATAATTCGGATAGATAATTGATTTCCTCGGTCGTAGCGGTTGCAAACAAAATATGCAACTGCATACAAAATCCGGTCTCTAGTCATGTCCAGACGGAGTACGACAAATTTATTTAATCCAATATCAAGATTAAATTTATCCACTTGGTCAGAAAAAATGAGTTTTTATGCAAAAAGAGAAAGTAACTTAACTTAGTTAAGTAACTAGCACAAAATGAGTGGCTTTAGTTTTTTTGTTTACTATAAAAAAAACAAATGGTAAGAATTAGAAAGTTGTATTAGAAAATTAATAAAAAAAAGAAGTGGTGAGGAGCGAAGCGGTCAGGAATGCATTAAATAAAACATTTATACGTTTTCGACATTTGTTCATAGCATTGCACCAGAAGAATAACGCCTATGTTTTCCCAATTATATATTAGAAGTTATATGTTAAATTAGTGAGAGATTTGAGGTGGCCCTGAAAAGGGCCGTTGAAATAAAACAACTGCAAAAGTGCAGTTTTATTTGGAGCTGGTGTACTTGGTAACAGCCTTGGTCCCTTCAGAGACAGCGTGCTTGGCCAATTCCCCAGGAAGGAGAAGCCTGACAGCGGTCTGGATTTCCCGACTGGTGATGGTCGACCTTTTGTTGTAGTGAGAGAGTCGTGAAGCTTCGGCGGCGATTCTTTCGAAGATGTCGTTGACGAAAGAATTCATGATACTCATCGCTTTAGAAGAGACACCGGTATCGGGATGGACTTGTTTCAACACCTTGTAGATGTAGATAGCATAGGATTCCTTCCTCCTCTTCCTTTTCTTCTTGTCAGTCTTAGCGATATTCTTTTGGGCCTTGCCGGCCTTCTTCATAGCTTTACCAGTAGCTTTAGGTGGTGCCATGGTTAATAAACTGAAACCAAATAGTAACGGGTATTCGTACGACCGGGTATTTATACCGCATCGGTCTTCCCCTCTACAAAATGGATGGTCATAATACTCAAATCCCATTGGCTGCAAAGTGACGGACTACGCTGGTTGGCTGCAAAGTAGTCTCATCGTAGTATTTATGTTTCTTTCTACTAGATCGCAGTTTGTTCGAATTCCGTTCCATTCGACCCATGTACTACTTTTGTCACGATGTTTTTTTTATAGTATATTAAAAAAAAGTTCCGTTTTTCACCCTTTCATGCTTCATTCCAAGTGTATTTTTGTTACTTATTTTTCAAAAATTGGTATATATAAATAACATACTAACGTGTTTCTTGGTGACATGTTGTTTCATAATTTGTTAAAGTCGTGAGGAATGAGGTAATGAATCAAGTAGTTTAGAAATTTTTTTTCATTTTTTTTCGATATTTCGACCTTTAATCGGGTCATCTTCATGGCCTGAGTGAATTATAAAACATGTTGATTGGAAAAAATACAATTTAAGATGTAAATATAAATTTTGAACCAAGTTTCATACCCAGCAACATACATTGGTATTACATCAGAAAAACGGAAAAAACATCTACGTAAAACACCAGAAACAAATCCCACAGAATTGGGCACACACCACTTTGAAAAACAACATAACTTTGATTTCGATAAAATGCAAATACCAACCGAGGAAAGAAATACAAACGCAACTTTCTAGAAATGATTTACATTAACAGAGACACCCACAGCATAAATTACAGAACATATACAAGCCAACTCAGCCGTAGCTACGCCAACATCATAATGCAAATAAACTATTTGTTTCGTAGACGTCGGCGGGAGTGAGTATTGGATATCTACCCTCCAAATCCGGCGTTACCAGGGATAGTTGCCGGCTGTTGCGTAAAGGACTTAAGGTTTAAAAAAATGGATAATTCGTTGGATGATTAAATTTATTAACTGACAATTTATGATAAAAATACGGAAACTAAAATCTGGCCAGAAACAAAACAAAATGTATATATAGAGAGTAGGTTATAAGAAAGTTAATATGTTAATGTTGAATTAAAAGAGTAAGGACATTCGTACGTCTTGTCGACTCACGACAGTGAAGATCAAACGATTTGGCGCTTAACTTGGAGCTTGAGATTGGAGTCTGGGGGGCCACTCGCCGGACGACGTCAAAGGTGCGTTCGTTCGTACCCGTCGAAAGCCAGAGAGTGACAGACTGGAGACCGCTGCTGTACGTTCGTGCGTACAAGTTGAATCCTCGGGAGAGACTCGCTGAAGACAGCTGATGTACGTTCGTGCGTACCGGTTGAATCCTCGGGAGAGACTCGCTGAAGACAGCTGATGTACGTTCGTGCGTACAGGTCAAGAACCACGCGGTGACTCACTCCTTTTACGAAGGATTGCTGAAAATTGACCTGTTTCTCCCTCCAGCGTCGTGATCGTCTTACAAATTTTGTCTTTATAATTTTTTTTAAAATAATAAATTTAAAATAATAAAGTATAAGATTTCTACTTAACTAACATATATAAAAATGTTTACATTGGCGTAAACACTATTAAACCTTATTTTTATATCCATTATGTTTAGTGGCCTAATTGATCAAATTATTTCCTTCAATTAATTATTCATCTCAGCCAAGACCTTACAGAAAAATAATGTTTATTTTTATATTTCCCCTTCTTTTGTTATCATCCTTAATAATTAACTTCCTTTCCCGTACAACTTGAGATGTAAATATAAATTTTGAACCATGTATTTCTTGCTCAGCAACATTGGTATTACATCAGAAAAACGGAAAGTACAAAACTGTGAACTGTGAAATAGTTCTTTGGCCGTGTTTATTATTGTATGAAGAGGATGGTGTGATGTTAATTTGAGGTAGCGATCTGTTTCTTAGTTTTTAATACCGCTCTGTGATTAATGTGCCATCTAGTTGTTTTATTAAGTGTATCTAAAAATCACACATTCCACAATTTTACATAGTATATTTTTTCAACAATTTAGCCTTCCTTTTCCTATTTATCCCTGACTATATAATCCTGAAAGGATAATCTGGCCGAACCATTACCAACGTTTTTTTCCTTTCTTCGGCTCTTTTCACCTCACAGAAGCCGCCTTCTTATACAAAAATGTCTTCCTATACCGACTTCCTTCCCCACCCCTTCAAAATCCAACGTATATAAACATAAAACAGCAATATCTCACTGGCACTCTCAATACGACACTCAAGAATGGCACAATTACAGAGAAAACAAACACTTTGAGTGAGTAGAAATACTTCAATTGAATATATATTTAAAAAAATATATATTTTGCATTGTATAAATTCACTTTTTTCCACGTCCTAAATGTATTTGTTAAATTTAAACAATGTTTGTAAATCCCAGGCCCTGAAGATGATCTCAATAAAGATCGAAACGTTGGCACGATAAAGAAAATGTTTTTCTGAAACCTACATCACACCAGACCGCATCTCACGATT